TGTTTTTAGCGTTTTTAGCTTTATTTTTTTGTTTTCATTTAAATGTTTAGTTTTGAAATGTTGTTGTATGTTTTTATTTATTTTATTTAATTTATTTTATTTTCTTAAATGTGTATATATATCTTTGAAAGAACCTTGCCACAAAGTTCTGAGAATGTTTACTGTTAGTTGGGTAACGGCTAGACCAGGGGTAGGTAAGTTCGGTCCTAGAGAGCCGCAGTCCTGCAGAGTTCAGCTCCAACCCTAATCAGACACACCCGAACAAGCTAATCAATGACTTCAGGATTACTAAGGCTATAGGCAGGTGAGGTTTTTTTTCAGGGTTGGAGCTGAGCTCTGCAGGACTGCGGCTCTCTAGGACCGAACTTGCCTACCCCTGGTCTAGACTCTAGGAGGAGATACACTTTAAAATTTGGTCTCAGAAGAAGAAGAAGAAGAAGAAGAAGTTTAAATAGGACTTTTTCAAGCCAACTTAATAAATTATATTACTTATTGGCCAATATTAGATATTTAACTGTGGACTTCTGTCTTTTAAACATTAGTTTTCCCTGTTGTGGCCTAGATCATGACTTTCAACTTAGATGCACATGTAAAATGGTGAAATGTTTTTTTTGGGGTTATTTCAGGGCTATAAATGTCCATAGTTGTAGGATGTGTATTCTATATAATTTTGTTTTTGCAACTCTCTCAAAATACCTACTTCTCATTTACTTATTATAATCCACTGCCTATAGTTCTACATTTTTGGGTATTCATCAGTTTGACAAGAATATTCTAATCAAACTGTATGTATTTTTGCTGTATATGTTATGACTTTTAGCTTAGTTTTAGTGTGATTTGATATTTTTAGACAAAATAGTATTGGTCTACAATACAGGCAATTTATTAGTATGGGTAATAATTAAGGGTCAACCTCGTCATTATCTCAAAATAAACCTAGGCAGACCCAAATGCAAAGCAAATGCATCTGTATTAGGGGTTATAAATTGTTGTCCTGGAAGTAATTTGACCACAGAATGTCACAATTGACCTAACAAAATCAAATATTTTTATAGTAACAAGAATATAATTATAACCTGTCATATCATCCAGAATGTCAGTATTGATGATCTCTAATATTAACCTTTTGAGTTGGAGTGATCAGGTTGAACACAATATGTACAAGTACAGAGTTACAAATCAACAGCCTTAAAGGGGTCATATGATGCGATTTCAATTTTTCTTTTCTCTTTGGAGTGTTACAAGCTCTTGGTGCATAAAGAAGATCTGTAACGTTGCAAAGACTAAAGTCTCAAATCCAAAGAGATATTCTTTATAAAAGTTGAGTCAGCCACGCCTACCTAAAACAGCTCGTTCTAACACGCCCCCACATATCTACATCACTATGTGGGAAGATTTGCATAACACCGCCCAAATGTTCACACAAAGAAAGAAGGCCTAACTTTTATTCTCGCTGTAGTATTGTTGCCGCCGCTGTCATGTCGTGAAGTCACTGTGTGCTTCGTTGTGAAAGCGAAACTACTTTCTTTGGTCTTCCAAAAGAGGACGATATCCGCTTCGTCATACCTGGAGCTGATCTGTGCTGGTCGCTGAGGAAATACATCAACTTAGTGCTGTGGATCACCGGATCGGCTTTCACCGTGGACGAAGCGGAGTCCAGACCGGGGTCGTCACATGTGGTTGCCGCAAGCATCAAAATATGGTAAGGGACATAACATTTCCGTCACACGCTTGAGGAATTCGGCCAATCACAACGCACTGGATAGCTGGCCAATCAGAGCACACCTCGCTTTT